AAAACAACATTATCATGATTAGCAAACAAAGGGCTAGCAGCACGTGGTATGGACTCCACCTCAACGGGTGTACTACTAGGATCAGACTCAGAATCAGGAACTGACTTAACCAGACAAGGAAACTCGGATTCATTGAAAACAACGTTTCTACTCACCACAACTTTGAAACCTACCTGGTTCATATCCCAAACCCTATACCCCTTCACACCCTCGGGATAACCTAGGAAGACTCCTTTCTTAGACCTAGGATCTAACTTGTCACCTTGTTGGTGCACATACGCTGCACACCCAAACACTCTAAGATTAGACAAATCAAGGGGTTTGTTTGAAAAAACAGATTCAGGGCACTTCCCACCCAAGGGAACAGAAGGAGACCGGTTAATCAAGTAGACAGCAGTGTTAACTGCTTCACCCCAAAACTTTTTAGACAAACCGGCGGTGGCAAGCATACTCCTAACCTTATCTAGAACAGTCCTATTCATCCTCTCGGCTATCCCATTTTGTTGGGGAGTATAGGGCACAGTTTTGTGCCTTCTAATCCCACAATCAACACACAGTTGGTCCATATCCTTATTGCAAAACTCTAGACCATTATCTGTCCTAAGGGTTTTGACCTTCTTACCAGTTTGATTTTCTACAAGGTTTTTCCACTCCCTAAACTTCACAAAGACATCAGACTTATGCTCAAGGAGACGGACCCACACCTTCCTAGAAAAATCATCAATGATGGACAGAAAATATCTCTTACCCCCGTGGGTAGAGACACTAGCAGGACCCCACACATCAGCATGAACATACTCTAACACAGAGGTACACTTAGTAGGATTAGGATATGGGGAGGAGGGGAATGTAACCTTATGCTGCTTGCCTAACACACAAGATTCACAGAAGGGGATGGGGGACACAGAATCCTTACCAAAACAACCAGATTTATGCAAAATCTCTAAACCCCTATTACTCATGTGTCCTAATCTATTATGCCACAAAGCAGATTTATCAGAACTAACAACATGAGCAGAATCACAGAAAGGCTGAGCATGGCACACATACAAGTTATTCACCTTTTTTGCCTTAAACAAAACAAGGGAATTTTTCAAAACTTTCATGCACCCATTACCCCGTTTACCCTCTAATCCACTACCCTCAAAAGCAGCGACAGAAAACAAGTTATGACGCAAATCAGGAACATGCCTCACATTTTTCATAGTAAACACAGTCCCATTATCAAACTTCAAACATACATCACCCACCCCATGTATTTTGCATTTCTTATTATCAGCAAGAGACACAAAACCATCATTGCAAGAATCATAAAAAGCAAACAAGGATCTAAAAGGTGTCATATGATAAGTACAACCAGAGTCAATCAACCACTCATTTTCAGTCATGCTACTCAACACAGAATTGGCAGAATCACAAATCATAAAAACTTCTTCATGCAAGTTATTATCATCTACCACATTAGCATGTTCAGACTTCTTCGGATGGGGACAATCCTTAATGAAGTGACTAGAATTACAACAATTATAGCACACTCTCTTCTTAGACTTACCTCTCTTTTTCCCCGGGTCATTGTTTTTGTTCTTATCGTTGTTGCCCTTCTTATGGTTTCTAGATCTACTCTTAGACCTACCCCTCACAAACAACGCTTCACCAGAGTCCCTAGACTGACTGTTACTACCCCTCGAGTGTCTAAGGTCTAACTCCTTACTCCTTAATCCATTAATGACTACATCCAACGAGATATCATCTCTACCATACTTTATGGCAGATTTGACGTCATTGTATGAGTCAGGGATGGCATTAAGTAACACTATGAGTGTGTAGTCATCTATGTGTTTATCACCGGCTTGCTTAATATTCTGAATAAGCTTGTTAAACACATCTAGGTTCTCATCTATGTCCTTAGACAGGTCAAGCCTAAATCTAAAGAACTTCTCAAGCAAAAACAATTTACCAGGCAAAGAAGTATCGGTATACGTCTTATATAACTTGTCCCACAAAGCCTTTGCAGAATCTATAATACCCACCTTCCTGAGTACTGAATCAGAAAGGTTCAGGTATATAGAGGAACAAGCAGTTTCATTCATTTCATCGCGCTTAGCAGCATCCTCAGAGTCTAAATAGAGACCAGTCACTGCTCTACAGACTTTCTGTTGGATCAACACGCATTTGATTTTCTGTTTCCAGATATCAAAATCTGTCTTTCCGTTAAATGGAAGCATGCCATATTGATTGACAGCCATGTTAACCAGAAAGCAAGCACAACACGCAAGAGAGTAAATAAAAAATTTATCAGGCTATCAACCGGTACGAAGCAACTAGCACGAACAAGCCGAGAAGACCAATGAACACAAGGCTCGGGTACAATCTCCTTGTTCTTTCGTACCGTACGAAGCAACTAGCACGAACAAGCCGAGAAGACCAATGAACGCAAGGCTCGGGTACAATCTCCTTGTTCTTTCGTATAAGCAAGATAAAATTTTTATTTACTCAACAAACAGATAAATGATTAATTATAACCTATAGGGCTATCAATTGTACGAAGCAACTAGCACGAACAAGCCGAGAAGACCAATGAACACAAAGTTCGGGTACAATCTCCTTGTTCTTTCGTACAAGCACAAATAGGCTAAAATTAAATCAAATAAGCAAAGAAACTGGATTTAAAACTAATCCGGACAGAAATATTCCCAACTTCGGACAACAAGTATCCAAACAAATATTCTTAACCGGAGAGTTTATCCACGAATCAATTAACAGAAAAAATCAAAAAAAAATCCAACACGTGATTAAATTTAAACCGGAAGAAATATTCACAACTTTGGACAACGAATATCCAAACAAAATATTCTTCACCGGAAAAATTAATCCACGAAACAACAAACAAGTAATCACAATTCAAACAACAAAGTAATTGCAATTCAACTTGAAATTAAAAAATGAATGAACTACGAATAATAATCACACAAAAGATTAGTAAACGTACCTGGGGCCGGGCACAGCCGGCATCCTAGACCACGCAGGTCAGCAGCGGGGGAGCGGGGGGAAAATAAATCCGGTGGCACTCCGGTACACCAAGGATGTTAAAGCCAATTTACCTGAGCGGGGCCCGAGGTTGGGTTACCCGACTTACCGTAGGCAGCGTGGGCTGCTGTAGAGCTGGTGGAAGCGGACTGGACAGGCGGCAGCACTCCCCGGCAGGCGGCAGAACTCTGGACTGCGACTGGCAGAACTTCTGTGGACTGCCTGAAGCTTCTGGACGGCTGGATGGTTCCTGGCAGAAGGTCTGGATGGTGCAGCAACTCCAGGCGACGGCGGCTGGACGTCTGACGGCGGCGGGCGGCGGCGAGACGGCGGCGGGCGGCGGCTGGCTCTGATACCACTGTAATGTGCACTTCCAGCTCAGGTCTCGTCCAAGATTTCACCCACAAAGGATGAAAGAACACCACTAGATCACAAGGTGAGGTTGTGGGCAACAACCAACAAGCTTCTTCCGGCCAAATCGTTCAAGCACCACGGAGGAGCAAAAAAGGTGCGATTTTAGGAGGAAGTGTTTTCCACCAGACCAACCCATCATCAGAGAAGAGAGCAAATTAAATAGGTGAGCAAATATCCATAGATGGTAACTTACCTTCAATTAAGAATCAAAGGAAGGAAAGCGTATCAAGAATCGAGGAAGGAAAAACTCACGCACGAACGGAAGAAGGCAGCGGTCCGAAAGAAAGGGAATAAAGATGGGTCGGGTACTTCAATGAATTTGGGCTTATGGATAAAAGAAGCTGGGCCAATACCTTAACAACTGTAGACTTCCATGTTTCATGTTAAATTGTACTACATTACTAGTGTTATAAAACATAAAATAACAACAATCACAACAACAAGTATATGGGAAATTAAAGTGTTTAGCAAAACCTAAAATGACCCAATATGTAGTACGTAGTAGTATAATATCTCTAAAGTTACTCATCATTTCACAATGAACAAGATCACATGAGTCTGAGAAACATTTCAGGAGAGCATATACCACTTCTTTATAAAGTCGTATAGGCTAACTTGACAATATCATAATCATTCATTTTCATTGTTGGAGCCACTATGAAAACAAATAGTGTTGACAATGTCAAGTTAGCCAATATGATTCCGTAGAGGAATTGTATATATTGGTGTAATTCCAATAGTAGTCGGTATAATTTTATTGATAAATATTATTCTACACATTCGTAAGATGATGGTGACTTGTTAACTCTTAGGCACAAGCTAATTGACCCAAATATTTACATCACATATACATGGAATGATTTACTCAACTACACATTCTTTATTTTCCTGTAATCAAATGTGTAAAATGCGTAAAGAACTTTGTGGTATGATGATGATATTAGTGTGGGGAAATTTCCCGAAATATGACTAAAACAGTTTGAAAATTCGAAAATATGACTTTATGTTTTTATTATCAAAATAGAAGTAATTACTGCTAAGTTTGGAAAATACTGCCATGTTTGAAGTCTGATACTGTCATAACATGACAGTAATTAGTACTCCTGTCCCAATTTGATAGTCTCATTTCTTTTGGGCACAAAGTATAATAAAGTGGTTAAAAAGGTAAAGGTTATGATTGAGATTTGAGTAGAAAAAAGGTGAAATGATTTGGACCACATCTTTGTTTCCAAAAAGAGAAACAGAACCATCATTTTGGGACATCCCGAAAAGGAAATACAGGATCATCATTTTGGGACGGAGGGAGTACTATTTTGAGAATAAAAACATAACAGCTCTATTTTAGAATTTTCAAACTATTTTATTCTTATTTTGGGTAATCTATTAGTGTGACTCTTAAACAGGAAGTTACATGTTCGAGCCGAGTCTCATTTCAATTAAAATCATTTCGATTTATCATGTAACACAAATTACATAAAAAAAACACAAAAAAGTGTGAAAATGCCATATTTCAAAACTTATCTTGTTTTCCTTGCATGATCAACCAAACACCAAGTTACCTCTCGACTATCCTCCACCACATAAGTCCAAAATCAAAACTTTTGCCTATTTATTTTCGTTCACAGATGATCAAATCGAACTCAAATCTCCAAATGTCTATCATTCATGAAGCGCCGGGGTACATACAAGTCTTCTCCGACGGGACTGTGAAACGTTTCTCCCCGGAGATCGCCGACAATCCGGCGGATTCAACAGGGGGCTTCAAGTCAAAAGACGTCGTAATCGACCGGTCAAAACCGATCACCGGAAGAATGTACGTGCCCGATCTCGGGCCGGAAGCAGATGGGGTCAAGTTACTTCCGGTGCTTTTCTACTTCCACGGCGGCGGATTTTGCACCGGCTCCACCTCGTGGCAGGGCTACCATGTGTTCCTCGGCGGCCTCTCTGTTCAATCCAAATCAATCGTCGTTTCTGTAGACTACCGGCTGGCGCCGGAAAATAAGCTCCCGATTGCTTACGATGATTGCTATTCAGCTTTGGAGTGGGTCCAGAAGAATCAGAAAGCCGAGCCTTTCCTGGATTGCTCAGACCTTTCCCGCGTATTTCTTTCAGGCGATAGCGCCGGTGGAAATATTGTACACCAGGTGCACAATTTGATTAATTTGAAGTGGATCAAATTTAAGAAGTTTTTTCTAAAATATTAGCTAATTAATCCTTTCAAAACAAATATATTAGCTAATAAAAAATGAAATTTATGCACAAAAAAGCCACTAAGGTTATCGTGTCAAACGGGATGTCTCAAGTTCGAAACCCGCGCCGCTAGGCACCTAAGGATTTAAACTCAATGAAAGAGTGAATACAAATATAATAACTAAAGTTATCATAATCACATATTTTTCACTATTTTTATTTTGATATGTATTTGAAAATATTTCTAATTTAAAATCTTGCTCGAGTTTGTATTGTGCTCCCTCCCTCCTAAAAAGGTTTGTTAATGATGACTAATTTGTTTTGAAAGGAATGATGACAAATTTTGGATAATGACAATTCATAAATTTTAAGAGTACATTTTTTTAGAAAATATTTTGAATAAGGAATGTTTTGATATAATTTGTATGTTCAAAATAATTTCGTATTGGAGTAATGTATATCATTGGTTGCATTAATCAAGAAAAACATCTTTGAAATTAATGACAGAAAATTGAATTTGGCAAATTATTTTGTATGTAATTGACTACATAAAAGGAAATTGTTTAAATATGTGTAAAAGCGTTTACTCCTCTTAATTTTAATTAAAATAAGACTACCATTTTATTTCGAATAATAATTGTCATATTTTTTCAAATTATCAAACTTTAAATATTGTCATCACCATTTTTAGACTTGATACATGTATCCCATGTAAAAAACACTTATGATCCTAGTTTAACAAAAAAAGGTTCTATTTTAACAAAAAAAAAGTGACAACTTACTTACCTTTCTAAAATATAGGGTACCGTATCTATCATTCGTTTGATTGGACCACATCAAAACACCACTTTATCATTTTTAATTTAGATTTAAATAATTCAACTACTACATTTTTGTAAACAAAGACTACAATACCATAGAATCTACCAAAAAAAACTTTCGCTCAGAGTAAATTCCTACATTCTTGCAGGTGACTTTGAAATATCTGCGTTCAGTAAAAAACTGTGGTCTCATAATTAAAGGGATTATGCCTATCCATCCGTACTTCGGTAGCGAAAAGAGGACAGAGCTGGAGATGGCGGAGGGATCCGCCGACTACGTGGCGATGAACGACATGTTTTGGGAGCTGAGCTTGCCGGAGGGCTCTACCCGGGACTTCTACGGCTGCAACTTTGAGACAGAAAATGATGCGGCCGCGGCGGAGTTATCCACCGCTGAGTGGTTGGGCTTTCCGGCGACGGTGGTGTTCGTGGCCGGAAAAGATTTCTTGAAAGAGAGGGGAGTGATGTACGCTGAGTATTTGCGGCGGAAGGGGGTGAAAAGGGTGGAGATGGTGGAGGCAGAGGGGGAAGGGCATGTCTTCCACGTCTTTCATCCACATTCCGAAGCCACCCGTTTGCTTCAGAAGCAAATGAGTCAGTTTATCAATCATGGACAGGCCCCGGCCGGCTGATCCAGTGGTATTTATTATCAATAGTGAAAATAAATAGTTGAATATAAATATTATAATTAATGATCGATATATCCTAGCAGATTAATGCATGTAATTGTATCTCGAATAAAGTCCATGTTTGGTACCCAGGTCCATATTGGTTGTCTACTTTCAATTTGTCACGATTATTAATAAAGTAGTTCAAAAGTAAAAGTTGAAATTTGAGTAGAATAAAGTGAAATGATAAGGATCACATATTTCTTGTCAAAAAAAGAAACAAGACATTCATTTTGGGACAACCCAAAAAGGAAAGTAGGACAACCAAAATGGGACGGATCGGAGGGAGCACCATTTAAAAAGTTTCTATAAATTTTTAGCTCTATGTTTGGTATGATCATTTTAGGAAGTTTTTTCAAAATAAAATATCTTTTTTTTGAGGAGATACAATATGTAGCATCTAGGAGAAAGTCTGTTGCTTTTAGCATTAATTAGTCACAATAGCTTGCCTTCTGGGGTAAAAAAAAAAAAGCTTGTTATACAAAACAAAACTGAATCAAATGGTCAGTTTTTATCAAATAGGTACAATCTATTTTTCTCTTTAAGATCATTTTAGTCACTAAAAGTTAACAATTACTAAAAGGTTAACAAAAATATCTTTTCAGCTAATTGTATCAAACCACTCAAACATACTTCTAGTTGTATGTTTGACATGATAATTTTTAGTGGTTTTTCAAAAGAACTTTTCTTCTGATGGTGGCCGGGGTACGTCACGACATACTCCTAATTACATACTTTTCTCATATGCAGTAAGTGTAACTGGCGGATCTGGTAGATGTAATTGATAGGTCTGATAAATGTAACTAATGGGTCGGATTATTGTAACTGATAGATCAGGTTACTATAACTAATGGATCGGGTGAGGTAACTAATCACTATAATGTTGGTCGCTGTATGGGTTATGTGGACCTAACAAGGGTATAACAGTCCTCATACCCATTTTTAGAAATTAACAGAAAATGTCCCTTTTTTGTCCAATTGTTATTTTTAGTAATATTCTTGTTTCAACCCCATCTTAATCACATAATATTAAGAATTACATAAATGAATCAACATAAAAACTTAGCAACTAAATTGCGATTTAACACATTGAAATTATTGTTATGAACTTCTCGTGTAAAAATTATTTTAATAAAATGTGTAATTGCGAGTATAACGGTGATGTCTATTTCACTAAAATCTTATGATAAGATTTGATCCTAGAAAATATCAACAATATTTGACATATAAAATCTAAAAAGACAATTTTATCAATAATTTTAGGCTAAAGGGTCAAATAGGTACATGAACTAACTTAAAGTGTTCAATTAACCCCTTATAAAGGAGTTTCTGCCCGGACGTCGCCAATTGGTGCGGTTCCCGGTGGAATTTTTTGATAAAATTTTTTGAGCATCTTCTTCATTAAGTCTAGTTTACTCATACCAAATTTCAGCTAAAAATTCAACCGGGAAGGCAGTCGAATTATTTTCCGAAATGTACTGCACTGTTTAATTTTTCAGAAAATCATTCGACTGCCTTCCCGGTTGAATTTTTAGCTGAAATTTGGTATGGGTACACTAGACTTAATGAAGAAGATGCTCAAAAAAATTCATCAAAAAATTCCACCAGGAACCGCCCCAATTGGCGACGTCCGGGCAGAAACTCCAATATAAGGGGCTAATTGAACACTTTAGGTTAGTTCATGTACCTATTTGACCCTTTAGCCATAATTTTAAAACCAAATTTACATGCTTACCTAATAGTTTTCATTGCTATTCGTAAAATGGACTTGATTAAAAACTAGACTATATTTAACAAAGTGAAAAACGGTAGACAAATACTTCGTATATACTAGTACGTATGGATGAACCCATGTCGGTCTGGTCCTAGCAATATGTTAATGAGGGTCGGGCTCAACCGGCTATTTTTCAAGCCTGAGCTAATTCCTGGTACCCAGGCAGTCCAGTCCCGATCCCGCCCAGTCCAAGCTAAAAAAATGAGCTAGTCAGGGATCGGAGATGCCCACTTTGGTCCCAAATATTGGAATCCGTGACTGGGTACCCTTTTCCCAGTCGGGTACCCATCTTGATTCAGGAGAGAAAAAACAGACCCAATTTTGTGTATTAGAATTTAGAAAAGACACTAGGAACATTCAAGTTAAAGTATAGTCACCTTTATGGATAGGGCTACAATAGTCTAACTCAAGTATTTTGTCTGAAATGTTTTTTCTATAGGACCATATAAAATATGCCGAAGTCAACATTATCTAAAAAAAGTCAGTAGACTCTATTAGAATGTAGTCTCTCCATCTCCTTTTATCTTTTCATTACTTTCCTTTTTGAACCATTGCTAAATGTCATTCCTCTTCTCTAAAAAAACTGTATGGTTTTTTTTTTGAGAAGAAATTGATCAACTATCATTAATAGAATCAATGTTCAGTACATGGTTTTATATTCACTGGTTCCTTTTTACAAATCACCCAACACAACTCTCATCGTTCACAAATCCTGTGTCAAACAGAACCCGCAACACTAAATGGGGATGGAGGGTGTACCAATGTACAAGTCTATAGATGTTTTAATTGAACACATTCTCCTTAAAACTCCCCATCGGTTTACGGAGAAATTTACAAAAGTGACATCTCCTTAAAAGCCTCTTGGCCCAAGAAGAAACTTATACAAAGGCGCGCAAACATGAACTTGCCAGTATGAGTATTTTGCAGCAATATGCGACACTGTTTAAATTAATCATAAAGCCCCTCCTGTTCCCAGATATCAACAAGGAAATCTACCATTTCCTGTCATTTGCAAGAAGCATTGAAGAATCCAGTCAGTGTTGGTCATAAAACTGATACTAATGTGTTATTAAGCTGGCAGGACTCACTGGAAGAGGTATTGGCCTAGGAAATTGCTTGTTTGTTCCCAGCAAGTTCTCATAGGTTGCCTCAAAACTGCAATATTATAATGCATAACTGGTGTTGGTCATATTCAAATTTACGAAATCTAAAATGTAATTAGGTGGCTGGCTAGGCAGATGATCTATCAATAGGCTCGGAAAGAATAGTAGACACTGCTGAACCATCAATATCAATATCCTATGTAAAACGGAACTTCAAAAAATAATGTCCATATCAGTGTTCAGTGAGGAAAAAAACCATTATAGAAGCACACACCTTAATTTGGGCCTATTAGCTGGTACATGATTCTGAGATTTTGTGTTCCCAATCCACTGTTGCCTAGTTTGTTTCCAAAGCATTAAACCTGATCCAACACAAATGTCAACTCATTCGAGAACTTCAAAACCCACCTCAAATAGTCCATAAAATTAATAAAACAGCACACAAATGTTTTGACAAGTGAGTTTTAAAAACCTGTAAAGCTCAATTCAAGAACCCCCCAGACCAGCTTAAGTTGAAAAAAAGCTTTAAATCAGTCAAAATCAAAGAATGCCCTTAAGTTCATTGCATTTTAGATTTAAGAGACGATGCAAAAAACAAATAAACAAAAAAACGTACTCTAATGATACAGATATTTTTTCATTGTACTCGAAAAGTGGACCACAGATACTACTGTATATATTCACACATAAACAAGCAAACATATTTCAATAGTCATTCAACCATATGCGATGCCTACTATTTTATATAAACCAGGAATTGGAAAAGACTCCACTTGCCATTATTTACAAATTCTGACTGGCTTATGTTGCCCGTGCTAGAGATAGAAGGATCATGAGTGTTGTTTGAGGTGCTAATTGACGAGGCACTCCTATGGGATTGAAATGCACTATTATCCATCTCACAGGTACTACTGCTCCAAAAGTCTTCTCTCAATCTTGTATTCCTTACTTGTTGACCATGACTTTTCAGTCCCTTGGATCGATCTTCCACTGATATTACAATAGTTGGCTTTGTACAGCATCCAAAAAAACCTCTGCTTTGTTGCATATCAGGTTTGTAGCAACATAAAAGATTAGTATAGACAAATATTCTCAACATCATAATCATACACATAGTAAATGAAGCACACAAAGAAGCACACAATGTAGCACGGGACAGATCTCAATGTTACAGGGTATACACTCCTTTACATGATGGGCCATTGGGCCTATTGACTATGTGCTGTAGGACAAATCTGAATGTTTAACAGGCATACTGAAGTAATTAACATGATGGACCTATGCTATTAATTGAACTTCTTGTCCAAAGTATTCTATACTGTAAGTCGCATGAATAATTAACAATTTCAATACATTTTTAACAAATTGTTCTTCTACCAAAAACTGATACATCTGTACCCACCAGAAACATAAAAATCATGGTATCATGATTGATAACAACCAGTTTCTTGCTATTCCTAAGATTTTCTGTAAATTAAAAGATTGCATTGTTAGCTTGAATTTCTTTTGTTCATAGGATATTGAAAGCTCACTATGATTCCAAAGATATTACGAATCCAATTATTTTGCTGATACAGCTGGTAGCACTGTGTGGATGATTGGGAAAAAGAAACGGAAAAAGGCTAGATGAAGATAAAGGTTCTCAAAATGATTTAGTTCTTAGTGATTTTCAGAGTTAAACAAGGTCCATATGGTTCTATAACATGAACAGTGGTTGACGTCGAAGAACAAGCCAAGATTGATGTCCAACTTGATGATTTTAAGAGGCATGCAACATTCTTACACTCACTTGGCTTGAGAGATAGTAGTCCAGCATACTGGTGTCAGCCCTACACTGACGAGCTTGCAAAGCTTCAAAAGTTTGACATTCAAGTAGTAAGCTTCACATGTAGTTCCTCTGGGTGTAAGCATAATAAGAGTGCCTTTGTCATGGTAAGATTTCTAATTATTCGTGAAATATTTAGTTTTACATTACTTGAATGTGTATTTTTTTATAAGATCAACATACAGAGAAGAAACTGTTTGAAGCAAAAACAATGAATGGTCTTGTTTTTATTATGGCCAATTCAAAAAAGGTTAAGAGAAAGAAAACCAGGTGATCAATTGAGCATTTGAGCTCATCTTGAAGATCTTCCATCCAATGATAGGTGGATTATGCAAAATCATGGGTGAGAAAGTGAATGTGTATAGATGCAGTGATGCACATAGTTTAGATTTTGGTACTTCAAAGCACGGGGACACCGTCCCCTTGCCAGCAGGTGGGCTTGTATTGCTCAGGGAATGGGAATGATTCTGGGCTTGCTTTTTACGGGGTGTCTGGCATTTGTGAGGACCGGAACAGCTTAATTAGGGGCAGCTTTGGTTTTGGATTGGGCGCTAGGCTGAGTATTTTGGATGGAAATGGCTTAACTTAGTAATTACTATGGTAATTACTTAGGGCTTCGAGTCCAAATTTAGCCTGATTTGTTAATTCATTACTACTCGGTCAAAGATCAAATACGTGTTACTCCAATTAGGACTATTTGAGCATGCATTCCTAAAATTTGAAATATGGTCTATAAAGTGATACTTCGTATTAGAGTTTGGGACTTCATGAGCATATGGTGCATGGCAGAAAATGGGAAAAAATAGAACATCCATGCCTGATCTTGAATGATTTTCCGGTGTTCAAATAACTACCCCACTGATTTGGTATTAGAGCTGTCGTAGACTTTTTGTTATTGGACTGAGAATGGAGCGTGTTTATATGGTTTTTAGTAGTTATAAGAGTGTTAAGGTAAACTCAAAGAGCACTGCCACCCATTTAATTGAGAGAAAATCAATTTCACATCTACTCTCAAAAGCTCAAGTTTTAAGTTTTGGGGAATAGAGGTAAAACTAATCTCTCTATTAGAATGTAAAGTGTTTTTAAATTTGAAAAACAGTGTTTCCAATAGCTTTTACCTAAAAAATCTCAATACAAGTACTTATTCAAAAACCTCTTCTATTCTAAAATATAATTAGGCTTGCTTTTGGATTAAGATGGGGTTGACAAAAGCTATAGATTACAAATACGTTTTTCAAAAGTATTGGGAATCGCGGTGGAAAAGGGCTTTTGAGAGTTATCAGTGTTCACATTGCAAATGAAAAGTACTCCAAATGTCAAAGCAGAATGATTTAAACCTCAAACACAATTCTAGAAAACAAAAAACTACTGTGGCTATTGAAAAAGTACTGCAAAAGTGGCTATTGAAAAAGTACTGCAAAAGTCATCTTAGAGTCTTAGACTGAATCTTGCATTACTGTGGCTATTGGCGTTTAAAATCGGGTTTTAGACAAAAACTACTGGATTGTTTTAAGAAAACAATAAGCTTTTCCCACCGCAAACATAATCTTAAGCAGGGCCTTGTCCTGAACAAATGTGCCCTTATTAACTAATAATTAGTAATTTAAATTTATTGTCAAAAGTGGACATAATTAAATTAATTGTATATGATTGATTGGTTAACTCAAGCTGTCATGTAATCATGTTAAAGAAGCACTCATACACTCATGCAGACACATCAATAACGTTTGCATGATAATTAGTTTCAAAACATGCCTCTCTATCAGAACCTTCAAGCAAAACCATTGTTCTACAGGCTAAGACTAATGCCTAGAGGACCCAACAGGCCAACACCGGGTATAATATAGCAATGAGTTCTAGCTTTTAGCTTGCACTATATTTATTTCGCTACCCGCGTTTTTATTGAAACTTTTTAAGAATTTTTGGTTGGTTAACTTAAGAGATAAGTTTACACTTATTTGATAGACTTCTTGGTGTAGCTTTTCATTATAGATCAATTTATATGCTCATTTTTATTTTAAAATCATTTCAAAATTCAAATACAAGCTTTTATGTCATTTGATATTTCTAAACTAGCTTATCAGACAATTCTTACCAAAAAAATAAGACCCTCTAAATTATCGGCTATAATTTACAATCTACTCAGGTCAAGATACATGAATATAAATGGCTCTTATATACCCCTAAAACTTATATTCAATATTGTTTGAAGTGACTGGTCAAACCCTGCTTGTCTCTTGGTTTTAAAAGTGTTCCACTTAAAATATGAAAAAAAAAAAATGGAATATGACTTTTAGAATCAGGCTCTATTTTGGGGACAGTTTTTCTAAAGGGGCTCTTTTTTGGGGTGGAGGTAGTATAGTTATATAGATACTCATTACTTATCAGCTAACAGCTAGCTTAACACCTCAATTCATTCAAACCAATCCTTGATTATTTGGTGAAATGGATGTTACGATAATTAGAAAATTGGGCAGATTCTGAATCCATTTCAGTCAAAATAATATTTGCCAAAAGAGACACTAAAGCACCCTCCTGAGAAAAAGCAAGCATAACAGAAGACCTCAATAAAGAAAACAGCAACACCCTATCCATTATGATTCCTAACGTGCCGGCAAAGTATTCCAAAAAGCAATAGTCCTCCAAGATATTACATGACAAACAAAGAATGAACCCAAAAATGTTGTGATTTTAGTAATAAATCAATCGATATGAGGATTGAGATTTCTTTAGTTCTTCCCAAGATTGCATTTGCCATTCCCCGGTTTTAACATGAATAAAGAAATTTCTATTTCCTCTCAAGGCAAAAAATAACAATTCAAGTATTAGAGGGAACCTGTAGAACTGACCCCATAAAAGTAAAGATGCGGGCAAACCAAGAAGCCACAGATCTATAAAAAAAATTGAAAGTTGGCATTCATCAATGCATTGATTTCAATGTCTGCGTCTCTGCAACCTGCAAATTCGAATGAACGGCAATATAAATTACAACACACGAAGCTTTTAAACTGCTGTGAAATCAAAGTGACTTACTCAAGATAAAACAGAAACTTCCTCCTTGATCTTTCTTACTTTTGAATTGGGTTATTTTTCTTGGCGAAATGCGGTCTAACTTTTGATTTAAGGATTGATCTCAGGTGATCAGAGGGGGAGAAGGCAATTCCTTAGAATTGCATAAAAAAGGTCGGAAATGGAGTCTGAGATTAAATATATACTCCGTATCAGTGAAGAAGAAGAAGTATAGGCTGGTCGCCTATGATGAAGTGATGATGGTACATCAGTACATGACTGTGCACGGTATTATTGACCACTTTGCATTTCCAACTTTTTCAACAGAAGTCTTTGCGTGTTTTGAATTTGTTACTGTGTAAAATAAATAGTGTCATTAATTTTTTTGTAAAATACGTAGCATCTAGAAATGATATTGACCATAGGTTTCTATTTTAAAAGGAAATGGTTCTTTTTTGGCAAGACGAAGGTTTGACAAAATTTATGAGACAAAAGGAATATGATTTATTTTAGTACTCCATAAGCCATGGCTGAGCGAGAGATTTTCCGAAGGGGCGTACCCAAAGCTTAGAATTATTGTATATTTGCTCAAAATACAATTAAAACGAAAAAAGCTACTTAGCACAAATTAGTTCACATACTGATCGACTCATATCTATAATATGGGTAGATCAATCATATGAATTTTGTTCAAAGGTTGTATAATAACTTTATGTTGAGAAAACATGATCTCCAGCCTTTTTCAGGATTACAAGCTCGTAGACTGTACACATATATTCACACACTCATATTACAAAGACTCAATCACAAAATATCATTTTCTATGGGACTATTTGACTACTTCACTCTATCTAACCCGATCACATACACTTCATTAAGAGATATCTTTGAGCTTTCTTCTCTCACAAGAAGGCTCTCAGTCTCCTCTCTCAATTCTTAAAATTGTTTTAGAGGCTTCTACACACTTCTACACGATTTTAGTGAGTTGCACACTTCTCTAGAAAACTTCATATTATTATTCTAGAACATTCAACATTTCTCTACACACATATAGAGAATATTCGACATCGCTGAAAATTCTAAAGTTCTCATGAATTTCTCCACTAAGGGAATCCAACATAGTCTCGAGAATGTTTTGATCTTTTTGTTGCAACAAACGTGACAATGTATTCAACAAACTCAATACTTTCTTACACACTATAACCACGAAAAGCCAACTCGTGTGTCATTAGTGATCTAAATCAATCCACACTTGAATTCAAATGAGTGTGATATGTTGCAGTCAATACTTGTATTTCTAGAGACATGTACGTTTCCTAAAGATGTTGCCTTTTATTTTAACACTTAGTCTAAAATTATCTTTAATTGATATTTATTTTTGAAAAAAAAGAGACATTAAATATATTATAAAGAGTGGTATTAATATTTTTTGTCCAAAGCGGGGGCACTGGCTCCTCATACCCCTCCCTAGCTCCTCCATGGTCCATAAGTCTGAATTATATCATTCTTTTATGTATTTAAACAGGGAAGGAATGATGAATAATCTCATTTTTTTCGTAATGCTAATAATACCGATCTAATTGTAATTCTACATACAAAATTAATATTGTATCAATCTAATCTAGTAATAAAACCTTATCGTGAATCGTTTACTTAGAAGATATTGACATATTCATACAATTTTGAACAAATGCATTGTACACTTCCCTTTGAACATTATCATGCTACCCATTGAACACAGGACTAGGTACTCAACGAAAAAGGGCACATTACTATGGGAGGATAAGAGCTCCACAAATCCCCTTATTACATTGATATGCAATGAATGTACATCTTCATTAGTTTACTTCGTAAAAGTTGTTAGTTCCTCCTTGTCTTTACAATACGCTTTCTCCTCGTATGTAAATAAAATATCTCCGCTCACAAGTCATTGACACAGACACACAGTATCATCTCAAAAAAAGATTTAGGGGTATGATTTTACCGATTTGACTTTCACCATAAAATGTTTTATCCCCTCTTACTTTATTCATTCAGGACAATTTCTTCGATCACTTTCCATCTTCTTTTGTTGGCCGTCGACTGGTAGATGACTTGTTGTTTCAATTTTTCCCTTTTTGAAATACATTAAATCATTGATCATATTTCACTAATTTTTTTCAAAAAGTCTCACATATAATTTTGTCTTTTTCTCCTAAATGTTGTGTGTCTTTGGTTTTATCCTCTTGACGCTTTGATTCTTTTTTTCGCCTTCTCGTTAAATTCGTTTGTTTTTCTTGTTTATATATTCTTTTTCTGTCAATACGATGAAGTTCTTTCACAAATTCCTTGCGATAGTTTTCTATTTTTTCCTTCTTTCCCATTTTTACATTTCCTTTTAGGTGTTCCTATTTGATGCACCTTTTATTTTACAAAAGACTTGTTTTGCCGTTATTTTTTCTCTATTTAGTTTTTGCTTTCAAATTTACTGTTCTTTTTATATACTTCGTACTACGTATGTTATTTTATTAATCTTCTACTCCTGCTACTTTTTCCCCCTTTTCATCATAGTAGAAGTCACTTCATTTTTTCCTCACTTTTATTTCACCCCATATGTTTTGGTTAATCTTTGACCAGTTGATCGAGAGTTCGTATATGATACACCCGGCTGTACGGGTGGGAACCGTACAGCCAGGTATTTTTGTGATTTTGTTAAACTTCCAGCCCAATTTAACTATACTCCTCATCCGTCTTTTTACTCTGTACTTCACCAGATAGCTTATGCGTTTCTGAGTTTCTCCTCATGATTTTTTTTATATTTATAATTCTTACGGATTATACGGAGTATCACAAATTCACTCTTACAAATTTCAAATAAATTATTTAATAAATTATCAATAAATATATAATTGTTAAACTTAATTCCCTATTCAATACTTAAAATTAATTTTGTTAATTTTGTAATGTTACAATAATGCAAATTTATGTTTTTTTAAAAGTAATACTCCCTCCGTCCCCTTGTTATTGTCTCATTTTCTATTCATTTGGTCAACACAAATCACTTTTAATCTCTTACTTTATGTTTCAAATTTTTATAAAATTTGATTCAGTTATGTGCGACTTTGTAAAGTTTTTAATGTAGTTTCTGAATAAGTAAAAAAATTTTCTAAAAATAATTTGAGTGTAGATGGGGATCTATTTGCTTTATCGTCAGTCAAAAATCCTAAACCGCAATGAGACAATAACAGGGGGACGGAGGGAGTATACATTTAAGTCAAACATTATACTCATATTAGTATATAAAAACTCATTAATTTCAATAGTCCATAAGTAAAAGTGTTCATATTAAAGTGTTATATTAATGTTCATTGTTTATTTAAGTTAAAATCTTGTCTTCTGTTAAATAAACATTAATGCGTTTTAATGAGCATCAGACATATACTTTTGAGTATTAGAAGTGTAATAATGAGCATCGTGATTTTTGTTTCATATTTTCTAACTTACTCTCTTTTTCTTATTTTTCTTTTTATATATTTTTTAAAATTATATCTATAATCAACTCACATGAATATCAATATGTGAATCTAATGTAATATGATATTTTAGAAATATACATTGATATGACATTTTAAATGAGCACGACATCAATATCAAATGAGCATACGTAGCTTACAAAATGAGCATTGATACGAAAATAGTAAATTGTGTTATTAGTTGAACATAAAAACATTTTCATTGAGCATCAAACTTCCTCTAGTAAGTATTAGAATCATACAATTGAGCATCGTGATCTTTTCCCTCATGTATATAAACAACTCTTATGTGATTCTAATGTAATATGATACAGAGTATTTTTGAAATATACATTAATTTGGCAATTTAAAATGAACATAAAAGTATTACCAAATGAGCATACGTAACTTACAGAATGAGGATCGAAAAATTAAAAAACTCATTTGAACTATCTAATTTTGCTCAAATATTCATTGTGTGTGTTCATTTCTTTTAATTGTTATGCTCATTTGAATATAACATAAACTGAGCATCGTGATCCCTACTTCATATTTTATAATTCATTTTCTTTCTCTTATTTTTTCTCTTATAAAAACATATTGAATTATATTTTTACTCAACTCTTATGAATTTCAATATGTGAATCTTAGGTAATATGGTGTGTTTGTAATATGCATTGATATAACATTTTTAAAATTAGCATACCATCAATACCAAATGAGCATGCATAACTTATAAAATGAGCATCACACCATTATTAAGTGAGCATACATACTTACAAAATTAGCATCGAAAAATTCAAAAAGCTTATTTAAAATCCACGGTATGCTTTAATATTAAATGAGAAAACATAACTTATGAAACGAGCATTGAAAAATTTTAATTGAGCATTACACCAATATGCACGAGAATACGTAAAATTATGGTAGAAAATTTACATAAAAATAAAAAAGAAATAGGAGATCAAAATTAGGGGAGAAGAAGACAAAAGGCAAAAATAAAAATAAAAAACGTAAGAAGAAAAAGCGCATTTCTGTTTGGTGCTTAATGACAATGTCGTGATGTTCAACTAACAAACCTTACGATTTTCATATCAATGTGCACTTCTGTTAAATGAGCATTAATGAACTTTTACTGATCATCATACCAATCTTGTTGAGTATTAGCAGTCTGATATTGAGTATCGTGATCTCTGCTTCATATCCTATAATTCACTTTCTTTTTCTTATTTTTTATTTGCCAAAAAATTATTAAATTATATCTATAATAAACTCCTATGAAATTTCAATATGTGAATATAATGTACTTCGTAAATGGTACTTCTGAAATATACATTGATATGACATTTTAAAAATGAGCATAACTGAGTATAAATTGAGCATTTTTAACTAACAATGAGACGCGAGGGGGTGACACACAAATCAATAAAAAGTGGTTTATGTAATTGATATTGAATTAATAAAGTAAAAATGATTTAGAGCACACACAAACTTCACCAAATTTGATATGATACAATCTTAGTAGGACAGACCGATAAGGTAAAATGGGACAATCATAGCGAGATGGAGGTAGTAATAAATATTCATCTTAAACTAAAATTAAAAAATATAACATTAACACCTTAAATATTTATTTGTTTATTAAATATTTAAGGTGTTTTTTATGATAAAAAACACCTTAAATATTTAATAAACTAATAAATATTCCTCTTAAACTAAAAATAAAAAAAGAAACCATTAATACCTTAAATATACATCATATTTAAAATCCATGGAAAAGAGTTACGTAAATCACAAACAATTACCAGTATAAAACAAAAAGCTACGTAAAAAGCAAAAGAGAAAAGTCAAAGATAGAAGAGAGCATAAAAAAGAGTCAAAAATGGAAGAGAGCATATGCGTAGTGGACTCAAGCTCTCACGAGAAGAATTAAAGAAAGGTTACGGAGAAACTAGGGCCATGCAAATCAGAAAGAATTACAAAAATACCCGGATGTACAGTGAGAACCGTACATCCGGGTGTACGGTATAATTTACGGTTGATCGATGACTTCTCGCTTGTTGATATAGGATTATTCTTTTTCTTCTATATTTGACTAATTTACTTCCTCTCTATCTCATTTCATGTAAAGACTATATGACATTTTTCTTTTTGTTTATTTATTTTCTCCATAATCTTTTCCTTTCACTTTCCTTCTCCCCTAGTTTCTTATCAGAAGAGTTTTTTTGGTGGACTTGAACACCCAAGAAAACTAAATATAAAGGATTTCATTTAATTTAGACGAAATCACTAATGGGGGATTGATAGTAACGGTAGACGAACTGAACGTAGATCACTGTCATCGGTAGAGGCAGTAGCAGAGGTGGCCGTGGACTCGTGGCGGTAGCGGGAGGGGTAGAGGGTGGTAATAACTACTTTTCATTATCAGAATGTAATATTAAAATAATATTCCATTCGTCCCAAATAAAGGTTCTCATTTGATTTACGATTGTTGATAGCCCATAAAACCAATTGGTCCCTATTATTAATAAGATTTTTTTTGTAAATAATATTTACATATTCAAAAATACAATGAAAACTTTAAAAAGTAGAAAAAACTGATATTTAATAGATTAAAAACAATTTACATTGAACGAGGAATAATAGACATGAACCCTTACCTGGGACAGAGGGAGTAAATGTTGTGTTAAATAGGGTGTGTAATTAATATGCTAAATTTTGAGTTACTTTTCAGGAGTATTTAAATATTATATTTTTCATTATTTAGTAGTTTCAGTCATTTCAATCCGAATTTCACCAATTTCTAGAGATGCAACTGCTTTTAGTATGTTTAACGATGGACAATAATTTTCTTGCATGATCTGGTCCGGTCTAACCCGGTGGATTGCTATTATATGACCATTTTATTACTATTATCACATCTAGTTTGTTCTTGTCTTTGACCGAAACCAATCCGATTAAAAACACTACCAGAGAACATTCTTAATGTTATCAATGGGCTAAAGTAAGAATGCACATCAAAATTGACAAGAGTAACCTAACCATACAAGGGAACAAAGAATCATACAAATACCAAAACCATAAAAATAGTGGAACCAAAGGATCGGAGCAAATAATTAAAGAAATGTAAGTTCGTGTTCTAATATGAAGGAATATATGTAGAGTACTAGCGTTGAAGCGCGCGTTGAAGCGCATTCTGTGCCCGATGATAGGAAACAAGGAAAATTTTTGATTTGGCTAGTTTACGGGGATCGTCAGTTTCATCAGAAGCAATCAGTTCAGTGAAGAATGACCTTGATGTGGTTTCAATTGCTACACCTAGAACCTCAAATATCTGTTTCTTGGACATTTTAAGAAAAACTTGCCTGATCACAAGGATTAATGCTGTCAGCATCCAGTTTTCTGTCAAATTCAATCTGTCAAGGGCAGGCCATTTGAAATTGCTCCGGACTCGGTATTTACAATCTGAAAACATAACCATGTCAAAGAGTAACTTGTATCAGAAGTTTAAGTCTCTGGTCCTGTTTGGTAGCACCAATAAGCTTATTCTTCTTATCAGAAGACATGAGAGGCGAGCAAATAACTAAGACAGAAACAGTAAACACCAACTAAAGTTTCCACTCAAATACTGACTTCATAACTTAATTTTTTAATTTAAAAAGGCCACTAAAATTACAAAACCTCATCAACAAAGATAATCTACAAGAGCATTGTGTCATGTGATATGCAACTTAACAGTCTATACACGTATAAACAACATGATAAAAGAAGCACAGACTCGGATGTTTATCACAAGCTATCAAACTATCGATGAAGAGAGAGTAAATTGAACCTGATGAATCACAAACCGCACAAAAGACCCATTAAACCAGATGTAACAGTGCATGCCTGGAGCATAGAAACCTTAGATAAATACAATACAAGGCATTAAAATTAACTAAATTTTAGAATCATTAAATTAACTAAATGCATACATAATACATATTCTTCCTGAAATTATCTTAAAATAAATACAAGGCTTCGGAGATCATTCTGACCATGTACACATAGAAAAAAGTGGGTATCATTTCACAGATTAAATCCAAATAAAATTGAACATACATAAACAGATGATACCCCAACCTCAAATTCATTCCACATGGTCGTTCAAGGTCTGTGCTTTGTCATCTAAAAGTGGATGATCTGAAGCTCTAATTGGATGAAGGAGAAACTGATTGAAAGATGGAGAGTTGGAGGAAGAGATTGCAATTATGGAAAGAAATGAGTTGAAAGATAAGGTGGATATTTGTTTTTCAAGCTGGAAAGAAGTGTATTCTTCCTGAAATTATCTCTCTATAATCTAAAGCGTGCAAGGATGTTAGCATGGCCCCTTTAAATACAAGGCTTTGTCATTTAAAAGTGGATGATCTGAAGCTCTAATTGGATGAAGGAGAAACTGATTGAAAGATGGAGAATTGTAGGAAGAGATTGCAATTACGGAAAGAAATGAGCTAAAAGATAATGTGGATATTTGTTTTTCAAGCTGGAAAGAAGTGTATTCTTCATGAAATTATCTTATAATAAATACAAGGCTTCAGAGATCATTCTGACCATGTACACATAGAAAAAATGGGGTTCACATCACAAATTAAATCCAAATAAAATTGAACATACATAAACAGATGATACTCAACCTTAAATTCACTCCACATGGCCGTTCAAGGATAGTGCTTTGTCATCTAAAAGTGGATGATCTGAAAGATAAGGTGGATATTTGTTTTTCAAGCTGGAAAGAGATTTATTTTAAATATGAAGATAAGAAAGTATTTGTTACCATCTCTTCTTAATTTTCAGCTGCTCCAGAGAAGAAGATATGATAGTTTATAGGTATCAGCAAAAAGGCAATCAAACAGAATGCAAGCAAGAAAGAAAAAAAAAAGATAATATATTACAGGTTTTTAATAATGAGCTTTACTAATCAATTACTCATAGAGTAGAAGAAATAGTGGGAAAAAAGCTAAGCACTTGTATCTTTACTACTTTCTGACATCCTTCCGCCCTTTCCATCCTCGATATTTCTTTTGAATAATCTAAAGCAACTGAGTAATAATCAGGTGTGATACAGAATATTAGCAAGGATGTAGCTGAAACACCCTGAATCCCATTTGTGAGAGTAAAGTATTCATCCCTAGCAGAAAAGAAACAATTTCTTTCTGTTGTCTGTTCCTCAAAGAATGTGCCCATAATGCAGATTGTATGAGCTTTTTGCAGTTCAGGAATAAAAGATCTGGACGAAATTTATAAGCACAATTTCTATGCTTCATTCTTCTGTTTTATACTTCCAAGGAACACAGAAATTACACTTCAACACAGGAAGTATTCATCACTATACTTGCTAATACTTAATAATGGCTAAGCTACTTCACATTTTCTACTATGTAGTTCATATGGCACATTAGCAAAGAGCGTGAACACAACCTAGTGAACAAAGAAGGGAGGATTGAAGACATATAATTGTATGCAAGCAATGTAGAAGAAAAAGAATACGTATTGTTTACTATCTTATAAAAAAAAAGTAACAGTAAATTTTTTACTGGAAGTTTGTGAAGAAAAAGAAATAATTCAACCATAGCAGCTCTTTCCTACTCCGTGGAGTCCTTTCCCTGGGATTCAACACTCTTATAAGTTGAAATCACACGTGAAGCGAGCGTTCATTCACAAGTTCAGAATAACGTGAAACGGACAGAAGACCTACGCCTTCTGGCGACACAGCGGACAGAAGACCTACGCCTTCTGTTGCCGGACAGAAGACCTATGCCTTCTGTTTCCGGACAGAAGACCAGGGAGCAGCAGAAGAGCTCGGCCGCCTTCTATTCTGGAGCGAGCAGAACCCAACATGCATTATCTGTTATATAACATAAAACAGATCATAACAATTAGGGAAACACAACATTCAATCGCATGCCAAGTAACTTTGAGATACTAATATACGACATTATGATTGTATAAAAATAACAGACTTTGTTCAAATAAATATATACATAACATAATATAAACCTCCTGGAAAATATGAAGTTAAGAGATTTATAAACCTCACAAAGCTACAAAAACACATTCTGAGGAAAAAATTAGAAGCAAGAGTGAATAAAAACCGAATAAGAAAGGTATGTTGGTTTTATCATAGTTGGAAAATATGAAGTTACAAAACACATAAAACCTCACACACCCATGAAAACACAAGCAAGGGAACAAATTAGAAGCATAAATGAAGTTCTTAGCAGAACTGTTCATTGGGCAGAAGACTGCACTTATGCTACTGTTTCCATCAGACCACTAAGGTCTTCTAAGTAGGTTAATACAACTGGACTGAAGTGCTACTCAAATAGAAAGGAAACGAAAATGAATCTGCTAACGTCAGTCAAGAGGGAATGCATCATGAGCTCTATTCACCCTAAAGCAAAAAATGTAAGTCAAGTTTTTTTCCTTTCTATTTGAGTAGCTCTGCACCATCTTCCACGTTCTCTTCTGAAAAAAACTAATGTTAGCCTGGGTGCACTGAATACCATACACCTAATTTTTGCATATGCCAAAGTTGAAACTTTGGTAGGGATAGCTCAATTGGGTCAAAATGTGCATGATATATCCAGCTTACAAGATAAAACTGAGAGAGCTTGCAAAAGTTGAACTCACGCAAAGACAAGAAGGCTTTATATAAAAGGCTCTTTAATCCTCCTTTTATTAAAGATCTTAACTCTTTTTCAGGGCAAATGAGGTAAGGTTGATAACCATTAGCTTCTAGTACAATCTGGAAATAAGTAAACCAGTCACATAACCCACCAGAGAGAAGGAACATTGAATTGTAAACAATTTAGTTTTAGGATGTGATAGAGACACACCCTCTTGAAGTTGTTCATATAAAAATATCTATCCAAGGGAAGTTGTTTAATCCTATTGGGGAAGTTTCCTTCATAATTTGAAACTACTTTCCAGCCATCACCCTATAAATGCAATTTTAACTGATCATTAAAACTTCTGTACACAAAGGACATAGAATATGGTGTAAAACTAATCTGCAACACCAATTTAAAAAAATAAAATAAAGACGCTCTTAAGTTCTTTAATCATATAAGATAATAATTAAATTAATGTCATGCATGGCAAGTACAAAGTGTGGAGCATACAAGAATCCCATATGTCAACATATCATGAATCCCTAAAATGAAAATTGGGGGGTGTAATTCAAGATTTTCTAAAGCACATTCAAAAGGATCCTCAATTGCTAACATGTATTTCCCTCTCTTATCCATTTCATTGAGATATCATATGACCGATTCATATTCAGACAGAATACTTTCCCCTGTTATTGTTTAACTACCACTCAAAAGCTTAACTCAAAAAACAGAGGTAGTCTTTTTGTGGGGCTTACCTCACCATCAGTATTATGCAGAAGAAACACATACTCAAATGCATGACAAAGCTTCAGGCTAATGCTTTACTGATTTCAGCAAATTACGGTATAATGTATGAGGAAGATAGGTTACCCGAGTTGTTTGATAATCGGTTGCAGCAACATTACAATCAACGATTGTTGGGCGGCCTCCGAAAGAAAAATGTCCAGGGATGTGTCCTTAAACTTATACTATATATGTCTCCTCCTCCTTGATCGAGGGCTCAGATTCTGAATAATGGTTGTATGCCAGAGAATTTCTTTGACGAACTTCCAAACTTCTGGAGCACGAAGAGCGTGAATCAGCGGAAGACTGGAGGCTAGGCAGCTTCGGCAGATGAAGAGAGCTCTCAAATCCGAAACACAAACGAGAGAGAAGAGAGATTTCCATCTTGCAGGAAAAGCATCCACAGTGCGCGAACGATCCCTGTCCTGCGAAGAGGAAAATAGAAGGGGAAGAAAACGGAGGAATCCGTTTGGGTGGGTTGCGGCAAAAATGAGTAACAGAAGGGGACTGTTCAAACGGTAAATGAGCCATGCTAACATCCTTACATGCTTTAGATTATAGAGAGATAACATGAAAGAAACACAGTCTTTGCAAAAATCATCAAACCTCTATATATAAGAGTGGGACATGGTGTTCAATCTAGCCGCCCATTGTTTTTTTAAATCTAGCCGTTTGGCCGGGACCAGGCCTGAAGCCAACCTCTATTCAACCCTGGTCTGGGTACCGGGCTGGTACTGGTACCGGAAAACCAAGCCCGGCTGCCTGGGCTGGTACCCGCCCATTGTTTATTTTTTTTTTTTAAATCTAGCCGTTTGGTCGGGACCAGGCCCGAAGCCAACCTCTATTCAACCCTGGTCTGAGTACCGAGCTGGTACCCGGTACCGGAAAACCAAGCCCAGGCCGGTACCAACAATACTTGTCCAGGATCGGGCCACCCGGTCCCAGTCCACCCCTAGTCTAACCCGGTGGACTGCTATTATATGTCTATTTTACAACTATCAAATTTGATCTGATCTTGTTTTAGACGGAAATCAATTCTATTAAAAACAAATGTTATCAATGGGATAAAGAAGAATGCACATCAAAATTGACAAGAGTAACCTTACAAGAGAACAAATAATCATACAAACACCAAAACCATAAAAATAGTGAAATCAAAGGAGCAAATAATTAAAGAGATGTAAGTTCGTGTTCTAATATGAAAGAATGTCTAGAGTGTAACATGAAAGAAACATAATCTTTGCAAAAAAACATCAAACCTCTATATATAATAGTTGGACATGGTGTTCAATCTTCTCATATACTACGTGTCATTAGGGCTGGGTCCGAAAATCCGAAAACCGAATCAAATTAAATCGAACCGCAACCAAATAAAACCGAACCGCTAACAAACCGAAACCGAATGTAAAAAACCGAACCGAACCGTAGCTGTTTGGTTCGGTTTTGGTTTTTACCCTTCAAAACCGAACCGAACCGAACAAATCGAACTATTTAAAATATAAAATTTCTTTGTTAATTGTTAAGCATTAATCCTAATTAATCCTAATATCATTAATAGTTTTTGGTTTTCTTGTGCTAGAGAAATAATGTTTTTGTTATGTTTAGTTTAGTTCATAAATTCATTTACACATTCATCGTCTCTAATACTGTAGCTATATTGAATGCTGATATACCATCTTTTTACTAGTTATTAGAATTAACTTTTATTTTTATGTAACTTAAGGATAAGGATTTTATATTGATGAAACAATAAATGTTCATCTCAACTATAGACTTATAGTCTATAACACATAGCACATATATACTCATGAACTTTTTTCGAAATGGTCACAAACAATGTATTATATTAATAATATATACACTTTTATCACTCTCACATACTCATATAATCAAGACACATTCATTTCTTCTCATTTTTATTATTTGTTGTAGTGTGCTTGCATTCTTTACGTAATATGCTTGATCCTTATATCAATTTTAAATCAAATGACAATTTTTTTTGGTAGAAAACCAAAAAAACCTATACCGAACCGAAACAAACCGAACCAATCAAACCGTGGATCCAAGTTTTGGAGTGTAAAACCGAACCGAACTTTTTACTTTGGTTCTATATTTGGTTTTAGGTCAAAACCGAACCGCAAGTACCAAACCCACCCCTACGTGTGATTCTACAATTTCTGTTGACAATGGTAAAAGGAGTCATTGTGCCCTAACAAAAATGAATAACTCAAACATGTCTTTCCAGGAATTTTACTATTCTATCTAATGAAGATATGGAGGAAGTTCATTGTAGATTTCCACTTTAGGCATTATAAATCTGTATGACACTATGATGTGTTTATGTTTTTCTCTTTGAGGTTTTGATAAGTTACATTCAATTTATATGCCCTGATTGAAAAGTTCACATCATACAAGTTCTAATGTTTTCCCATGAAGCCATTCTGGTTCAGAGGCTATCTTGTGTATCTATACAAGGAAAACACTTCCAATTTGTAAGACTTCACTTAAAGAGTTCCTATAAAATAGGATTAGTACAAATCTCATCCTTTTCATTTTCTGGCAGTTATCTCATTTCCTTTTCCGATGTGCACACCGAAGCGCTTATTACTCAGAGAGCAGTCCATTTTGACAATAGGCTGCAAAAACCAAGAGTACGTATATAATAAATTCATAGTATAAAGGATAAGATTGAGAGCATTTAAATCTTTAGGGCAAACCTAAGACTGGATTAAAACTTTTGAGTGAACTGAAATCCTCAAGGCCAACCTGAGACTAGACTGTAACTTTGAGTGAATGAAAATAATGAATGAAGTTTACTAAAGAACTTAAATCCTTGTTTCCCTTTTTTTATTGTAACAAAACAACTTCCCATTTTCTGAACTCTTTTATCAAAAGAATAGAAACCACTGGTTTAGACATCAAGAAAAAATTGCCTCTTTACACCTTCAGAAGTACTGTTGCCTTCTCAGTACTTGGACTAAAAAGCTATTCTTAGAAGACTCCCTGCCAAAATAAATTGACATCTCTTCCATCACAAGGAAAACACATCCAATAAGCAGCCAACCAATTAGAGCTGAAGTATAGGTGAATCCATAAGAAATCAATGGCAGAAAGACATAGTATTAGTTGATTTACTGCAACATATATGGAATTTAAACAAAATAAATTATGAGCAACGAAAGTAAGTGAGTAAACAGTTTTAGAGAAATTCAAAGCAGCAGCAATCATTATTACAAATGCTCAAAGATTTAATTTATTTTAGATTGTTCGAATGCTACTAATAATAGACAGCTTAATTGACTTGTGGCAACGTTAATCAGTCCATAAGAATGGAAGATGCAAAACTAATTATTCAAAGCACTGAAGAAAACGAAAGGCCCGAGATTTATGGTGTCCAAAACTCAGTTTAATCGCTCAACCAAACAATCCCGGTTCTGCAAATAGAGAAACCCTTCACTTTCAGGACATCAATTGAGTTCACAAAGTAGGGGAAAACTCAGATTACCCGGATCTAATTCGTCCGTCAGAAAAATGAAGAACGCTTCCGAACTCAGGTTGAGAAAAACAGGATACTAAATTCAGGGAAAACAGCCAAAAAATAAATAAATCCAGGAAAAATTAGCAAAAAAAATTTGGACCATTTCTCGATTTGTGCGTGTCATCCTTGCGCAGGGGCCATGCTAATCTTCTCTGTATCGTTCCAATTTTATCGGATGTCCCCGAAGGGACACTATGACCTCCATCTCCGACGTATTTGAAGCATAAGCTCTCTGTTCATCTCTCCGGTGTGGGAATAAAAACCACTGTTAGGAAGAAGCTGCCCACTGGGCACTTAATTTTTTACGGCCGTGGGCCGTGTTTAATAAAGTGGCCCATTATTATAAGCCTAGTCCGTATAATTTCGTCTTAATTGAAAGAAAGGGGATCGTTTTGTCCTTTTTATTCGTTTTATAACTAGGTCTGCTTATACACTACTGTTTGAAAAAACAATATTACATTTTGGAAAAAAAAGTCATTAAATACTATACCAAAACATTACTCCCTCCGTCCCCTTTTAAATGTCCCGGTTTACCATATTGGGATGTCCCTATTTAATTGCCACATACCTTATTTGGTAAACTTTGTGTGGCTCAAAATCATTCTTACTTTATTTTTACTTTATCAATTAATATCAACCACACAAACTCACTTTTCTTAAAACTCGTGCCACCATCTCCCGTCCCATTTAAAAGGGGACGGAGGGAGTACATTTTTTCCAGATGCAACTATACGCTTTTCCTCCGATGACTAAATTATTTTCATTTCAAACATAAATTAATTTAGGGGTTTCTGAAATATGACTAAATTGAAGCTAAATTTCACAAAAAGATTATCACCTTTACATAGGGTCATACTCTCTCCATCTCTTTTTCACCCTATCCCTCTCCTTAAAAAAATAATTAAACATAATCTTTTTTCTTTCTCTATCCCATCATTTTCCCTCCTCTCTCTATCTCTCTCCTAATGGACAGTTCCAGTTAATGGAGAGGAACAAAATTCCTTTACATATACACAAAACTACAAAAGTGTGACTAATAAAGCCGAAAAACATGATGTCACTATCGTACTTTTATTTCATGTCACTTACAGGTGTTACTTTCGCCATGAAACAAGTCCATCCGATCCCGAAAAAATTTACGTCGACTTTTGAAAAAAACGAGAAAATCGTCAAATTTTATGGTGACTTCTCGGAAGGCAAATTTTGCGACTTTTTCTGATAGTGGTTGGGCATATGTAGGGGCTGGAGCATGGATTGGATGCGAATTACAATGAGAAAATTACTCCCTTCGTCCCGCTATGATTGTCCCATTTTGCCTTTTCGGTCCGTCCCAATAAGATTGTCTCATACCTTATTTGGTAAAATTTGTGTGGTTCTAAACCATTCTTACTTTATTCTTACTTTATCAATTCAATATCAACCACATGAACCCACTTTTATTAATAACCATGTCACTTTCTCTTATCCCAAACTTAGGGGGACGGAGGTGGTATTAGTCATAATTTTTTTGGGGGGAGGGTGGGGGGAGAGAAAAACTAGTCACTTTTTTGTACTTCACAACTAGTTTTTTTTTTAATTTTCACTAATATTTTTATTTTTCCTTCACTTCCTTCTTCCCTATTCTTTTCTATCAGGAGAGTTTTCACTCATTGTAGATTTGTAGCTGCTCAAATTGAACCATCAAGAAAACTTAATAAAGGCTGCGTACGTAGATGGAGACATTAACTCAGGGATTTGATAGTGACTACAAACGGTGATTTTTATCGTTGGCAGCGACATGGTTAGTTGTGGGGCATCAGATGGTCGGGTGGGTGTGCAGCAGCGCAGGATGGCATTCATCGTTTTGTCACATGATTCTTTCAACGGGATCGAGGTAGTATTATATTTTAATAATGAAAAGTAGTTAATGCCATCCTGCGCTGCTGCACACCCACCCGACCATCTGATGCCCCACAACTAACCATATCGCTGCCAACGATAAAAATCACCGTTTGTAGTCACTATCAAATCCCTGAGTTAATGTCTCCATCTACGTACGCAGCCTTTATTAAGTTTTCTTGATGGTTCAATTTGAGCAGCTACAAATCTACAATGAGTGAAAACTCTCCTGATAGAAATGAATAGGGAAGAAGGAAGTGAAGGAAAAATAAAAATATTAGTGAAAATTAAAAAAAAAACTAGTTGTGAAGTACAAAAAAGTGACTAGTTTTTCTCTCCCCCCACCCTCCCCCCAAAAAAAT